GGACAGCTGACTGAGCCAGCCATCAATGAACAAACAACACTACTAACAAGTTCAATACCACCCTGACCTAGCAATCTGTCCTCCTGGTACACCTGACTTAGCACCACCTGGAATGGGGATTACAGAAACTAAAGAGAAGGGGAAAGAAAGTGGCCAGAATGTTGGCATGACGTCCCAGTAGAACCAGCCCACGGGCCTGGGCTCTGATGATCTGAAACCTGTTGGAGCCAATGGTTCTTTCCATTAGCTTCGGATGGCTTTGGATCAGCCCTTTGGAAAGGTGAGGGGCATGGTGGGATATTCCCTGAGCTGTGAAGGGTGGCTGTTGGGGAAGCCTCCATATTTAAGTCCTTTGAGGTGGTGCCACCATGAAAGGAAAATGAAACATAGGTGGCCTTAATGGCATTTTTACTGTATCCCGTACAATACTGCTGCTGCAAAGATTGCTCCCAAGGTTCACGGCAGCATCACTAGCAAAAATAAATAAAGGTCCCCACCCCTTTGTCATTAGCATCCGGCCATTTGTGGTAGTCAGTAACCAGCGGAGCTATTGCTTAGCACATTTGGCTTGATCCATTCACCAGCCCGGTTTTTCCCACAGGGGCATGTGAGCAACCTCCCACCAGGAACTGAAGGGATTATGTGCAGAACTGGATGGCAACGTATCCTTTAGGCTGAAACCTTTGATTTATGCCCAGATGTTTTTCAAAGAGCTTGGGGCCAGATTTTCAAGTGCTCAGCACCCACAAATCCAGGCCAGATTTTCAAAAGAGGTCAGCTTGTTTTGTGACCCCATTTTCAAAGGAACTCAGCACCCAAAGTGTTGAGCTCATCTGCAAATGTGGCCCCCCATTGTGGAGACCGAGCCCTTCTGAAAAGTATAGGCAAAAGGGTGTGGGTCATTCTAGACAGCACTGGTTATAGCTCACTGTTGAGCATATCAGTAACACTCCTGGGTCAGCCAGAGGTACTTCGGAACAGAGGAAGGACTAAGCTAAACCCCCCTGTGTCATTTCAGATCCAAATGCAAACTTTGCAGTGTGCCATCTCTGCTGTTCCCTCCACTAGCTAATCATGCTGCTTTCACAGAGCATCCATGCTCTGCTGGGGGCGGGAACAAGGGAATAAGCTTTAGGAGCGCCAGGCTCATCAAGACATATTTACATGACTTTGTAGACTGCAGATGCTGTGAAGGATATGGGCCAGTCGAATTTATCTGTCTAAACACAGGCGCTCTGAGGTCAGATAGATAAATAGGGCAACATTCTCTTCTCTGATCTAATAGTAATTGGCATTTATATAGACAAGAACAAGTTCAACGTGCTTTACAACCATTAACAAATTAACCCTCGTCATGCCCTTGTGCAGTAGGTCATTGCTATTTTACAGATGAGGAACTTGAGGCACCAAGGGGGTAAGGCCGATATTTTCAGAAGTGGCCCCTAATTTGGGTGCTTGGAGACACCTAAGGCCTGGGGCTGAGCTGCCCTCGCTGTTTGTTTGTTGCAGTGGTGGGTGGTTGAATCGTCACCTTTGAAAAGTGAGACTTGGGTTTCAGGCACCCAAAAGTGGAGGTGGTAACCCACCATTGAATGTGTGTTACAGGTCCCCTACATGCCAATCCAGAGAGGATGAGAGTTGTTACAGTCTCTAGCTATAAAGGTCTGGGCTTTCTTAGCTCATGCTTTAAACTCTGGAGGTCCCCGGTTCAACCCTGGTGTGTCAGCCAAGATGGCAGCCATCACGTAAGTTACAGAGGCCCCTTAAATGAGAGGTTATTTGAAAACATTTGGGTCATAGGTCCAGCTCCTCAAAGGCATTTAGATGCCAAACTCCCAATGATTTCAATGGGAGTTAGGTGCCTAAACACCTTTGATCTGGGCCTGCCTCCTTAAGACATTCTTTATTGGTTCCTTCTGTGCTGGACACATTGCATCACTCCCATAACTTCATTTAAACACAGGCTTATGTGTCTTTTAATTTTTTATTTAATCTGTTATTGAACAGCTCCCCAGAATGACGGCAGATGTCAAATATAAATCAGTTCTAAGTACAAAAGTTAAAGCCAGGTGCATTGCAGTTCTGGTAGGATCCCCGTGGAGGGTGCTAGATTGCAGCAGGCAGATATTTATACAAACCAGTTACTCTAACAGCCCAGTGATTGGTTTCCAGCTTTTGAAACTGGAGAGTCGAAAAGGTCAATAAATCTTGATGCAATCTGATCTCTCTCTCTCTCTCTCTCTCTCTCTGGTAAAATGGAAATAGTCTATTAGCATGTTGTCAATGTCACCTACAGTTCGGAAGGGATTTATTCCTCTGCACTGTGCAATATATCCCGAAGAAAGCACAGTGGGTCCTACGGGCATCTTGTTCTCTCGTAGGAAGGAATCGGTAACAGGTTGTTATAGATAGTACGGATTTGGTTTTGTTTGCACAGCATTGCAAACGATACATCATTTGACTTTGCTTATCCAGTTACATGCTTTGGATGATGATTCTTTTCAACATCTTCCTTGTTGTGTGGCTGCCTCTTTTAAAATATTTCACAACAGAACCTAACCCTTTTTAACCAGGCAGAGTGACCTAATGGCTAGAGGACTTGAGTGGGATGCAGCAGTCTTGGGTTCTCTTCCCATCTCTGCCACAGACCTGCCGTGTAAAATTGGGTGAGACATTTTGCTTCTGTTTCCCCTCCCTTGGTCTTTGTGTCTTGTTCATTTAGACTGTGAGACCCAAATCCTCAAATGTATTTAGATGCCTCCCAGGGAGTTAGGCACCTTTGAGGATTTGGACCTAAGCTCTTTGGGAGAGAGACTCTCTGCCTCTTACTCTATGCCTGTGCAGTGCTTTGCACAATGGGGCAGTGATCTCAGTTCAAGCTTCTAAGTACCACTGTAATGCAAGTAATAAGGAATTCTTCTGAAGAATTGGAAGACCGTGCTATGAGGGTTTTGAGAATTAGCAAGTAATTAAATCATTTTAAAAAATCAACCCCACGACAGCCAAAAAAAAAAATGGTAGAGTCAGTTTCTTTTGACAAGTATAATTTATTTGCAATTATTTATATGAATACTTTCCGGCATATTGGTAGATGTACCACAGTATATTTTGCAAAATTAATAGTAGTACTCTGTACTTATATCATCCTTTCCATCCAACGAGCTCAGAATGCTTTCCAAAGATGGGTTAAATATCATTATCTCTATGTTACACCGGGGGAAACTGAGGCACAGAGTGGTGAAGTGATTTGACTAAGGTCACGCAGCAAGTCAGTAGCAGACTCAGAAACTGAATCCAGGATTCTTGACTTCCAGCCCTGTGGACTAACCATTAGAAACACTGCCACCTTTGGGAGCTTAATGAGTTCTGACCTCATTGCTGCACTCTGCTTCCACGGTGAAGTATTGGTTTAGAAGTGTGGGGGATCTACGGGTTTATTTAGGTGAGAATTGACAGGTTAGGGGATTAGCAATGTGACAATTAACACAGTTCAACTGTGCCCTTCAAGTAAAATTGTAGGAGAATGAATTTTGGGGGGCAATGGAAAAGGGTTTAGACACCAAGAGCTGGTGCAAATCAGCATAGCTCCATTGATTTCAGAGGAACTAAGCCAATTGTCACTATAGGCACTGCCAGACTGGATCAGATCTGAGGTCCATCATCTTATCCCTGACAGTGGCCAGCTTCAGGGGGAGGCTTAAGATCCTCACTGTAGACAGATGTGTGATAATCTGCCACCTACATCGTCTGTCCCGATCTCTACTAGGTAGAGATTGGCTTAAACCCTGAAGCATGGATCATTCAACCCCCCCTTTTTTTTTTCCAGTAGGGATCAGCTATTTCCAAGCTGTTATGCAGCAGGGGGCAATAATGCTCGATTGACATCCTGTAAACTGAGTTTGTTATCGTTTTTTTAATGAGACAAGCTTACATTCTTCAGTGAATTAATCTAAACTTCCCATGGACACTAGGAAAAAATAGTTCTCAGCCTTGTGATCCTATTAGAAGACATTATAGGGGGACCAGCAAGCACTCCGTTTATTTTCCCATAGACAGCTCATCGCTAGCACAGTAATCTGCTCATTTCTCAAATGTTCTTCACATTCCTCGGGCCAGTATTTTAGAATAAAATGTGATACTCTCTGCAAAGTTCCCAGGCATTCTTGTTATCTGTCTAAGATGTGGTTTCTTCTAGGGGCGAGATCAAGCATGTCAGAACACACACCCCATTTAAAGAGAACACTCAGTGACTTCATACTAACTCCTGGCCTGGGGGGGACTTGCTCAAGAGAGCCAGTGTGTGCCTATGGTTAGGGTGGTGATATAGGAAGCAGAAAAACATAGGTTCAATTCCCCTAGTGTTGTGAGTTACTGCCCCTTTGTGCCTCTCTCTTCCTTTACGTGTCTTGCCCATTAAGACTGAAAGCTATTTGGAGCAGAGACTGTCTCGCACTAATTCTGTGATAAGAGTCAGGAGCCCAAATTTCAAGGGAATTTGGGGATTCGACCTCATTAGGATCTTTTGAAAACTCCAGCATACATATCTGTACAGAGCCTGATGCAATGCGGGTGAGATCTCAGCTGGGACCCATAGATTCCACTGTAATACAAATAAATAATATCCTTGCAATATCCCCATGCAGCGAAGTAACATTATTTCTCCTTGGGGTTCTCTCTAACAGGCAACTCAGCATTTGTACTAAGATACCTATGGTGTATGATGACAATACAATGCAGCCACCTTAGTTGAAATTTTCAAAGACACAGTTGCCTCGTTCCTTAGATTTACATGATTATAACCCTTTGGAGGGAATCAGCAAAATGCCCAGATCATACAATATATCATCCTTATGCATAGTCTGAATATTTAATTAATGTAAGTCACTTCCATCATTTGCAGGAGTATGCAGCAGGCCACTGCAGGAAAGTTTCTGATGGGAGAAAATCCTATTTTTAGGGGGTGGAGATTTTTCTCTTTTAGCATTCAAATGCATAGAAAATGACAAGTCTGTCCAAAATTTATTTGCTTTTCTTTGTTTTCCACACAGAACCGATGCCAAAATAAATCCTCAATACTATACATATTTTTTCTTAATTGGTGCTGATATTTACAAAATTTATGATACTCTATGAAGAATAAATTATGTACATCCAGGATAAACCAGACAGCAAATGTTCGTTCAGAATATGTATTTACACAGATATGTATATCTATATACAAATGTCCCACCTTATTGACTTCAGATTTCTCAGCTAACAGTGTCCAGTCACCACTGAGAATGCCAGCCAGTCGTCAATAAGAATGATACTGTCTATACACACTGTGCAATTCAGATACAGCTGGTGTCTAAAATGTTGTCTAGCAAACACATGGTTAAATGAGTTGGAATTCCCATGAGCCCTCCTTCCACAGTTTATAGGCCTCTCTCCATTATTGGTCCCATTTCTCCAGTAACCATGGAGACAAAAGGTTCAGTTCCAGCATCATTATTACATGGTCTTTCTTGGATTTCCTCTTCGTATTGATTCTCTCAAATTAGGCAACACATGCTTATTTGAGCCAATACCTATCTTTTTTTTTTAGCTTCTAGCAATGATTAGTAATATGACATTGTAAGACATTTGCAAAGTCTCAGGCAATGGGAAGCAGGTGTAATTGCAGTTCTTACACTTGGTAAAAAAAAAAAACCCATACAAATCTTGAAAGAATATGCAGTTCCCATATATATTTATACACACAGAGACCCTGGAAAGAAACCGTTGTCACATTGCAACATTCAACATCCTGTAGAAGCCAAAACATACCCAGGAAGAGAAACATGAACTAAGGAATTTATCTGCTGCCACCTTTACATGGGCTGTGGACCAGATGCTCAACTGATGTAAATTGGTGTAACTCCAATGGCCCCAATTTGCATTAGCTCAGGTTCTGACCCAAAGTCCTAAGATGTGATCCTGCCAAGATCTCAGCACTTGCAGCTACCCTTTCTAGCAATAGGAATTGAGGGTGTCCAGCCAGCATCACGCAGGGCTGAATGCCAAGATCGTGACTGCAGCTGGAAGATTTTAGAAATGGTCTGATGCAGAGAGAGAGCTGGCAGGCGATTATAGTGGTAGAATGTGGCCATTGTGCTGAACTTCACAAAGGACCCTGAGCAGGGCATGGGAGGGGAGCAGCATTTCAGCTTAAGACCAAAAGGAGTGTAAGGTTTGCTCCCAAGAATTGGTATAAAAAAGAATTGAGAGCTAGGTGTTCCCATTAGGGGATTGTCAGCTGTCTGGGGCAGGAACTGTGTCTGTGATATTTGCTTAGACAGTGCCTAGTGGAATGGGGCCCTGATCCCTGCTTGGGGTCCCTAGACACTACCACAGCAGAAATGAATAGCCCCAACAACAACCACTTGCAAAAGGGAGGAGAGGAGCTCTGACAACAGGAAGAGTTCTTGGCTCTGGGGAAGACATTAGCATGCACAAGGTGTGTGAGAAACGAGCCGTCTCTCGCTCATGCAGAGCCTTAAGATCCATGGTGAATACTAGGCCTAAACTTAGGGATCTGTGCCAGCCACTCTTCATTGCTCTTGGCCTCTTTCCCCACTGGCAGCATGGCCAATTGGTCCTCTACTGAGCACAGACACTGAACACACCCCGTTGAGGGGATGGAGGACAAGGGGAGGTAATTAACTCTGCTCTGAGCAGCAGTAGGAACTGGAGTGATGGTCAGTGGGAAATTCACAGGATCCCGAGGAGAATGCACTCCATAGAGTTACTCCTCCCCAGCTCCAAATATGTGGGGTCCATGCCGTAGTCCACATTCTTAGGTACATGCATCCACCCCTGAGTTCTGCTCCATCTCTCCCTGATGTGAGGGGTCAGGGGAAGGAAGCATGGGGGTCCTTCTTCATGGGGCTGTGGGACCTATAAGACATTCAAACCTTCCAGGGTTGAAATTCATAATTGTAGGAAATCACATGCCCTGCATCTGATAAATCCTGTAACCCACAGTCATATCTACCTATGGATACTTTCCCCTAGCAGCTATAATAATTTGATTCAGCTGATGCATCTTGCATCACAAAAAAATCCCTCAGATCATTGCTTTGGCTTCATCTGCATAGTAACATAGATACTAGCGATGGGCCCAAGCCTTGGGTTGGCGATCTCGCAAAGTTTCAGGGGGATTGGGGGATTTCTTCCCTCCACTAGAGAGAGAGAAGGAACAGCTGTAAAGCTGAACTCCAAATGTCCTCATTAGTCAAGAGGGAAAGGTGTCTGATTCAACCCATTTCAAATTTGGATCTAGATCTGTTTCTCAGCTTGGACCCACCTCTAACTGTATTGCAAACTCCAGAAAGTCTAGGAGATTTTGGCAGTAATTTCAGTGGCTGACCTAGGAACCACCTGGTCTCAAAGCAAGACCCTTCCTGAAATACTTCCTCCTCTGTCTTCTTCTCTCTTTCTGTGTATTTATGTACAAATATGCTTATATTTATACACCCACAGGCTACACTCTCATAACACCATTCTTAGGATCTTTTTCTTGATATAGCATAGTGTTTGAGTAGGCTTTGGAAAAGGACATAAAACTAGCTGCAGAGATAAGTATTTCTGATAAAGCCTGTACTCACAGTACTATTTACATAGATATTTCTTTCCTATCAGCTATGATTTGATGGAAATTCACCAGTTCCTCAGCCTAATGTGATTGCCCTTTGAGCAAATGCTATTTTTTTAAGGCATTAAAGAGAGAGAGATTTTATATGTTGACTAGCAATCTGCGCATCAGGGTTAGGTGTTAGAAAGTGACCTGTGTTCTAATCCCGGCTCTGACGCTGCCTCTCTCTGTGGCCTTGGACAAATCATGAGGGTCCTAAGTGCCACAGTTAGGGGTGCCTGATGTGAGATGCCGTGGCCTGATTTCCATTTCCTGTGGACATCAAAGAGAGTTCTCGATGCTTGGTAGCTCTGAAAATCAGGCCTGAAGTCTCTCGAACTAAGATCAGATGCCACTTTTGAACACTTCTTCCAGGTCACAAAAGAGAGTCAGAAACAAAGCTAGGAACAGTACCTAGATCCCTGAGCTCTAGGCTCAAGCCTCACTGAAGTCAATAGGAGTGTAATCTCTTTATGTCGGGGCTACATTTGGCCCCTTCTGTTTGCCATAGCCCCCTGGTCATGAGGACACTGTTCCCAGTGAGCCCGCTGCGGACTCTTAAAGCTCCCAGAGCAGGTTGCCTCAGGCATTCTTGTATGTCCTTGACATCGGGCCTGTTTTCAAATTCTGCGCCATTGCCAAGGCAGTCTACCCAGAGCAAGTCATTAGCCACATCTATTCCTTCCTGCCTTCAGGTGCATTGAGCCAGGTGGTAATAATTTTAGTCTGGCTGAAGGCAATGGAAGGGATTAAGCCATCACTCCTGGCTTCAGTGAGCATTATTTTAAAGTTCACCAAACTCCTGGGAAACTCAGAATATTTGGGGGAAGGGCATTGATTAGAGCTTGTTAACTGAAGGTTTGGGCAGATCTGTATTTTATCTCAAGTGGTTCGTCCGTCCAGAGAGAAAGACAGACAATGATAGCCGTGGCTAAGTGTAAGAACAGCGCTGTACTCTCTGTTGTGATATCCCTTACGCAAAATACGCCAGCACACTACAGCAACGGCCCAAAACACTGGGGGTAAACCAACCACTGGTCCAGTTCCTGGTGTTCCCTACTCACCTAGGATGATATTTACCCCTGGGCAAAGGATCAGCATGAGACCTCTAACCCACCTAAGCCCTTAAGATAAGGTGCTGTACAGGCCTTGTAATGGTCTTCTACATGAGGGGAGAAGGTCACCCAATGCGCTTATAAAAATCATTAAGGACCAAAAGAGCAGTCCAGAAGGAGGCAGGGTAGTCCAGTGGCTTGGGCACTTGCTGGTATTCAAGAGATCTGGGTTCATGTCCAAGTTCTACCACAGATTGACTGGGTGAGTCATTTAGGGTACAATTTTTAAAAGTGGCTAAGTGATTCAGGACCCTAAGTCTTATTGAAAGCCAATGGGATTGAGGCACTTTTAAAAATTTTACCCAAAGTTTTATTGAAAGTTAGAGTCTTGGGCACTTTTGTTTTACCCACAGTCTCTCTGTGTGTCAGTTCCTCCACCACAGATGTCCTGTGTGGCTTTGGGCAAGTCACTGAGGCCCAGATCTGCAAAGGTATTTAGGCACCTAAAAGGTATGTCTAAACTGCACAGCAAACCCAGGTTCTGACTCAGGTTTGAGCTCAAACCCCCCTTCGGTCTTCACGCAAATCAGTCTGACTCTGGTCACCAAGCACTCAGAATCCAGGTCCTAGGACCCTGCTGGGGGCAGAGGGGCAGGGGAGGGTCAGAGCTTGAGTCTTGCTGTGCCTCAGGTCCAAGCCCTGTCATTTTGTAGTGTGGATGCAGCACAAGCCACAGACTTGAGTCAGAAGGCCTGTGTAGTGCAGTATAGATGAGTCAGCATGGCTGTGAGACCCTAGTTCAGCAATTATAAACCCAGGTTTACAATGCAGTGGGGACACTCAAGCACAGGCTTGGAAACACCAAGTCCACAAGCCTGGGTCCCATAGACCTGGTTTACAATGGAGTATAGACGTACCCAAAGATACAGATGTCAATGGGAGTTAGGTGCCTAGGCACTTTTGAAAATCCCCCCAGATGGCGAGATCTCTAGGTGCCGAAATACCTTTAAAATCTGGCCCTTAGTCTCACTCTGCCTCAGTTTCCCATCTGTACAATGGGATTAATACACTGTCCTACCTCACAGGGGTGCTGTAAGGGTAAATACATTAAAGTCTATGAGGTACTCAGATTCTACAGTGGTGGGGACAGACCGATTTAGGCTGGCTGGCCTCACTGGGAATTTGTACTGAGAAGCAAGTGGTGCTGGTTTAGGACCATCGCTGTGGAATGTGATGGGATTATTCTTTTAATAAGGTTTATTGCTTTAGATAGTTTTATATTTTTAGAGGTAAAAATGATTGTGTTTAAATGAACAAGACAAAAAATGCACTTCTGTTGTTCATTACTTGCACCCGTGAAGCCAGAGAATTAAGATCCCTTATTAAAAAAATACCCCCGAATCGATCGTGTTGCGCCAGGCACTGGCCACTGAAGGGCAGTGGAGCTGAAAGCGCTTTGCACCTTGCAGGAGTTAGGCCCTTTTGCCCTAACTGGAGAAAGTTCTGTAGTACCAATCCTATTGGGCCTGAGTCAATCTTCTCTTCCTTGCACGGGTGTAAATCAGTAGTTACTTCATTTGGACCAGTGGCATGACACTGGTGTAAGTGAGAGGAGAATCGGGACCATAGCAAGATTTGGGAACCATTGCTGAACGCTATGGTAGTACCAGTATTTTATCAAGGATATTAGAAATAATCCCTTCTCTCATGACAGCCTATGAAAACGACGATAGGTAGAAATCTGTTTGCCTGATCCAAAGTGCACTGAAGTCAATGGGAGTCTAAGGCCCCGATTCAACGTACCACTTAGTGTGTGCTTAAGTTTAAGCACGTCCTTAAAGGCTTTCCTAGCCCGAGGCCTAAAAACAGTAAATAATTGCTGGTTTCAGAGTTCTACTGACCAGCTAGCTAGCGGCTGAGATCTGCGCTACAGATCTTGCAGCTGGGCATTCTCTGATGCCTTGGCACGTGTACGAAAAGAAGATTGCCTCTGTTGGATGGTTTATCAAACAATGGGGAATTTCCTTTCTCTCCTGCCACTGTTCAGATTGTCAGCTACACTTCTGGACATGGAAACTATGGGAACATGGGAAGTAAATAAGCATGTGCATGGGGCAGGGAACAGGTCAATATAATCCACTTGAAACATTCGTGGGAGCAATGGGAGGCTCCCAGCTATTCTGGAATAAAACTGGGATTGTAAAGGGAATGGGGCAAGCCCTGAGTTCTTTATTCAGGCAGAACTTCCATTGCAATCAATGGAGTCGGGGGAAGTTGCGGACTTGAAGACTGAGTCAATACAGAAGAAGTGCTCCAGGTTCTGAGGAATCACTGGACCAGTCTTTAAATCCAGCCCCGCCTTCACCCCTGCGCAAAGCAGGTGCACCACATTTGGCCTGTGGATCTGAATTGTTGAGCAGTCCTTTTGCGGACTCTCTGCACAGAGGCGAGTTTCCCATGCTCTGGGGAAAGTCCCATTGATTTCAAGGGAAGCTTCATCCTGGGAGGGGATGACAAGGTGCAGCTCAAAGCGAAGTTCTGCTTTAGGCCGAGAGGGCCGCATGCCCTCTGTGAGCCAAAACACAGCACAGGCCGGCTGAAGTTGCAGCAAAGTTAGGGCCCGGGTGCATTTTCAAAAGGTGTGCTAGAAGGTGGCGCTTGAGAATAATGGGAAACTCTTGCCCCACTGATTGAAAGCAAGGGACCATCTGGGAAGCAGGCTGGATCCCACCTTCAATGACACCCATGTAATCTCATCGACTTCAGTGCGTGCCAGCGAGGGCAGAGCTTGGACCATTCTGCCCAAGAGCTGCAGGCTGTTTGGGATATTGTTTCGGAGCAGAGGTCAGCCTCAGGGCAATAGTTTTCCACTACTAACCTGAACTCCTATATCCTGTATTACACCTAGTCATACCCAAGCCAGCTCCTCTGCTGGTGTTGCTTAGCACTGTCACTCCATTGAAGCTCGTTTACACCAGCAGAGGATCTGGCCCATAAATTGCCTTGTGCCAGTATTATATTGCATAAGCTCAGCGAACATTTGAATGGATATCACATATATATTACATACATCAAGCCCAATCCTCTGCTGGTGTCAATTGGTGTGGTTCTGATAAAGCCAATTCACAGCAGCTGAGGATCTGTCCCTACCTTTCTATATACAACATGATAATATATAATGAAGCTGATGGTGGCAGAACAGTAGAGTCAGGAGGTCTTTAACATACAATGCCACCTGTCCTTTGTACCATCTCTGGTCAGCCATGGAATTCTGCTTGTGACACCAAGATTAATTACTAGTTCCTCCCCACGTGATGAGCATAGATGCTTAACTTTCAGCTCACCTTCCTTCACATGCACAATTCTTTGCTCCGTTTCAGTGAATACCAGGAAGCACACAGAAAGCTTTGCCTTGCGTCTCAAATTTAGTCGGCCCCTGCCTTGCCGTAATCCAGCCTTGTTTTTCTTTTCACTTCCATGAATCTCCTTCAAGTAATCGGAGAATCTATAAACACTATAAACATGAATACTGTATAGTCTACTGAGAAAAAATATCTTTGTATGTGTATTCAATATTAAGATTCATGCAACACATATCCATGCAGCAGTACTGTATTACTGATTAAATTTCACTGCAGTATAAATATATTATAGGCCACAGCATAGTTTGCTCCAATATGCTAAAAAAGGATGCTTTTTAAACTCATCTTGAATGTGTCAGTGGATGTGTCTTTGGTGACCCTGGAGATAGTGAAGATGGAAGGTGTCATCGGAAAAAAAAAACCAAATAAAAAGCGGGCTCTTGATTTGTTTATGTCCCTTCCTATCACCGGCATAGAAAATTTAAGACTTAATAAATAGTGTTCTGTCATGCTAATTGTCTCTCCCCTAGGTCTCACACTGACATACTGCAGTGGATGAAACCATTGCAGCATGCAGCGTTTTCAGTTATGAAACACAAGCCTGCATGATGTATTCTTGCTTGGCATTTCCGAGGCAGAAATCTGAGCCATAAAGTAATTTGGACGCCGGGATGTATGTTCCTTTAATTAAACTATGCATTACCTTTTCATTATGAATCCATACGCTTGGAAGCTAGATGTGTGCTATTTCCTTGGGATATATTTTGTATGTGTCGAGTGCAGTGAAACACTTTTTCTGCTTGACATTTGTGGGGACTGTTGTTTACATGAGGCTTCTTGAATGACTTTTTTGTTCAATATCCCTGGGACTGCAAGTGATATAATTTTGTTTTGAATGCCTACATGCTCCATGTCTTTGGAAACCCATAAACCTGTGATGTAAAAAAACAATTTTTGCATGAAAGCTTATTCGGTGTCTAAATAAGTTTAGAAAGTCACTTACACAACTATTGCTTCCCATGCAGAACCAAATGCACGCTGCAGAACATACGGTATTAACTACAATGCAGGGTATTATGCAATAGCTGTAAGTGTTCCACTTCAGCTTTAAATATGGTGACAGGTTTTAAGGACTACACATCAGTTAGCATTTTGGTGATATTAACGTAGTTTGTGTTAGCCAGGGTGCAATTGGCTGTCTTCAGGTTCTCCTCTCTAAAGTCCTCATTACTATTGTTTACACCTTCCGGTATCTCCATATAATCAGACTTGCTGACAGTGGAGGCACTCCTGCTTTTCTTTAGGTCAGGGGAAGATGGGATCTTTGGGCAGCTGGTCACTTGCAAATATTGGGCTTGCTCCTCTCCTTCCGTCTCGCGGTGGTAGAAGTAGTTGAAGTTGGACACTATGACTGGCACTGGTAAGGCAATCGTTAATACACCGGCAATGGCACATAAGGAGCCCACTATTTTCCCCCCGATGGTCGTAGGGACCATGTCTCCATAGCCAACTGTTGTCATGGAAACCACTGCCCACCAGAACGCGTCTGGGATGCTGGGAAACTGAGACTCGCTCTCATCCGCCTCTGCGAAGTAGACGGCGCTGGAGAAGAGGATGACGCCGATGAAGAGGAAAAATATCAAGAGGCCTAGTTCCCTCATGCTGGCCTTGAGGGTCTGCCCCAGGATCTGCAGCCCTTTAGAGTGCCTGGACAGTTTGAAGATCCTAAAAACCCTCACCAAGCGGATGACTCGAAGGATGGCCAGAGACATGGCCTGTTGGCCTTGCTGGCCGTCCTCTGGTTTCTCAGCCAGTTCGGTCCCTAGAGTGATGAAGTACGGGATGATAGCTACAATGTCAATAATGTTCATGATGTTGGTAAAAAACCCAGCCTTGCTGGGGCAGGCAAAAAACCTTACCAAGAACTCGAAGGAGAACCAAATGATGCAAAGTGTCTCTACTATAAAGAAAGGGTCTGTGAAAGAGGTCGACTGCTGATAGCTCATGGTACTGTTGGAGTAGGGGTGATGGCTCATCCCACCACCATGCAGGTCTTCGTTCTCATCCCGAAAAACGGGCAGTGTTTCCAGGCAAAAGCTCACGATGGAGATTAGAATCACCATGACAGAGACAATAGCTATAATCCTGGCGGGCCCTGAGCTTTCTGGATACTCAAAAAGCAGCCACACTTGTCTCTGAAACTCATTCTCCGGTAAAGGCCTTTCTTCTTCCTTAATGTATCCTTCATCCTCTCGGAACATCTCCATGGCTTCTTCCCCGAGTTCATAAAACCTGATCTCCTCCGAGAAGATGTCTAAGGGCACGTTGACAGGCCTCCTTAACCTGCCCCCCGATTGGTAGTAGTACAAAATAGCATCGAAGCTGGGTCTGTTTCGGTCAAAGAAATACTCATTCCGGAGAGGATCGAAATATCTCATTCTCTTTTTAGGGTCTCCTAGCAAGGTCTCTGGAAACTGAGCTAGCGTCTTTAGTTGCGTTTCAAACCGCAGCCCTGAGATGTTAATGACCACCCTCTCGCAGCATTCATGATCAGTTTCAGGGTTATAGGTGTCCTGAGGATGACCTGCCAAAGCTGCTGCTTCATCCGTGGGGTCTCCAGTAGCAACTGTCATATTTAGGTTTAAAAGCAATCCTTAAACTAAACTCTTCCGGATGCCCGGTGCTGGGATCAGGTTCAGGGGAAGGCTACTCTCCTGGGAAAGGACAAGTTCGTAGGTTTGGAAGTGGCTCATGAAAATGCGGAGGGATGATCGGGGGGGGAAATATTTTAGCCTGCTGAGAAAGAGAGAGACGAAATAAAGTTGTGTGTATTAGGAACCTGTGCCTGGCAGAATATATAGCATATTCCTCAGCTGATTTTAATTTGCCTTCTTGGTGCAGAGTTTGAAAACTCCAGTCCCAATATCTGGTGATGATGAAAAAGCACTTGAGGAAAACTTTCTAATGAAAACGAGGGAAACATTTGCATTGGCAAAACCAAACTTTTTTTAAAAACTACAAGAAAAAAACACTGAATTCTTTTCTATTAAAGGGACTCAACTCTGGATGCCAGTGAAAATGAATATGATATCAAATAGATTCTGCTCATGCACTTAACGGTTAGAAATCAACCATGCAATAGCAGGCAATTCAGTGTTAACCTAAAGGAGCACATTAATGTCTCCAACTTAAAGTTAAACACATTCGCAGTTCTTTTGCACTGGAAATAAAATTGCAAGCCAACATGCTTCCCTATGATAATTTTTCTCTCTCTCTTTAGGCTTTACAGACAAATGGTTTGGTTTATTTTTTTGTGGCTAATTAATTTGCAAACACCTGTGCTAGCTGACAGTTTGACTACTGCATTTCCCATCCTCAAGATTTTTTCTGTGGCTCCTCTCCCCTCCTTCTTTGCAAACGACCACTGCGTACAGAAAACAAATCGCATTACCTGGAGAAGCAAATCTCAGTGTCTCTTAGTGACACAGATTAATTGACTCTGGGGAAATCCTAGAGAGAAATACAGGCTTCCAAGATCCCCATAAGTTCCTCTCTTCAAAGTTCAAAATAATGGTGAGTCATCTAGGAAGGGTGGCGGGGAGGGTTAGCTCTCCAGAATGTGCAGGTTAGGTCTGGTAATGGGGTGGGATTGGACAGGCAAAGGAGGAAAAGCCTCTTGATGGCCGTTGCAGCTCTTTACTTCAGGGCAGATGAGTGTCTGTCTGAAGCTTTCTCTATGATGGTGGAAAGATGCTAAGCTCAGCAAAAAACCTGATGTCCCCAGTGTCCTCAGGAGGTGTGGCGTTGCCTGGAAAAAACAGCAGTACGGTAAAGAGCTGGTGGGTGCTTTAAAGCGGCATCTGCAAAAGACCCAGTTCCTAGAGGCAGCCCTCTTCCTCCTGCACACTGTTTTATAATTCCTCACTGCCCCGTATGGCAACAAGAGAGAGGGGCAGAGAGCACTGGTGGCCACCCGAAAACACAGAGCTGCATCTCTGTCTGTCGCACGCGCGGTGGCCCCTAGCACAGGGCGAAAGCCACCCTGCCCGTGGGAATTGGCGCTGGGGGTCGCGGCTGCAGCCTGGTGCCGGGCTCTGCGCAGTGTGATCTCGATCTCCTTTCTCCTCACCAAGGCAAACAGCAGACCATGCCCCCTGCCATGCTCAGCTCCTGTACCACTGCGCCAGGCTCGCGGTCATGCCGCACATCCGAGTTGCCTTGGGATGAAGCCTGCTCCCTGACTCCCATGCACTAGCGGCTTTGCAGGGGGTTCTGTTGACAGCTGGGGGGGATGCTCAGCATCATCTCCTGAGCCTGGCTCTCCAAACAGCCCACAAAAAGCCCCAGGTGAGCTCAACTTCTGCGGCCAGAAACTGTCACTGAGACTTTCATGCCCGAGTCCCCGGCACAACATGGTGTCATCAGGTTCCCTGCATCTAACTTGGTCAAAACCAGACCATCTCAGACAGCTGGGCCGTTTCTTCGGAGGCTGGCGTTTCTTAGTGCAGAGGAGTCCAACCAACCATTTTCCCTCCGAAAGAGAGACTCTCTAACGTCCTTTCTTCAGCTGCAGACAGCCGCCTGGCTTGCCTACTTTGAGCCAGGATTTCAGAACTAGGTAGGGGGAGTCAGGTGGAATCGAACCCTTAGCTCTCAGTCTCCGAGACAGCGATTTCTGCCTGCTCCTGGGCAATTATGCCTCTTGTTCTGCCTCTTCATTGTCAACCTTGGAGGTTCTGCTCCAGATCCCCCTTTTGTTTGAAATCTCCCAGTTTCCTTCAAATTCTCCTCACCCTTCTCCTTACGCACGAGAGGAAATAGTACAACCCTGACAAGGCTTGCAGCATTCAACGGCTTCACTTAACCCTTTTTTAACAGGCCCAAATTAGGGAAGGTTAAAATGTATCCTTTTTTTTTTTCTTCTTCTTCCTCTCCTTACATTCCTCCCTGCAGTGACTCTTTGGGAGAATCTGACCCTCTCAGCCACTCACGAGAATCTTTTTTTTAAAAAAGCCATAAACGGCGTATTTAGTGCTGCAAAACCGACAAGCATCTGATTGGACCCAATTTCCTCTGCAAGACAAAACAAACCAACCTTGATTATTTTTTTACATAATTATTTTTCCTCTGTCCATTCAAACAAACAAACAAACAAACAAAAACCCAACAACCAAGGTTAATTTAGCAGCAGAAATATTGTTCTAGCATGCTGATTTATATTTCACTGTCTTTCTATATCAAAACAGCCACAGCTAGTGCAAACCAGGTGTTGCTATGGTGTCATCTGATCTTTGCATTTTTCAGATCCCACCTCCCCTCCCCTTTTCTCTGGACTGTTTTATGATTTCAGGCATCCCTGGATCATCTAAGGTTAGAAGCAAGCGTGGGGGAGGGGGGGAGAGCCCCATCCTTTGGCCTATTTCATGCTCATTTTGGTTTTTAGGGGTGTGTTGTTTCTTTCTCTTTTTGCAAAAAGCACCCAGGTTAGTTGCATGCACAGACCTCATTCAAAATCAAGCTCACTGCAGGCATGTGAGCCGGTCCACACATTTCAGAGTGCTTAGCGTGATTTCGGAGGACAGAGGGAAGACCACATGCATTGAGGAAAAGGCTGTGTTTGCTTAACCCTTTTCACTCGAAATATAAAGCATCCGTTCTCACAGTTTGTGGTAAACCTCTGGTTAACAGCGTTGGGCGGGGGGGAAGGCAACAACTTACAATTGGTTCTGCAGTCAGGCATGCAGCGCATACATAAGGAGCTGTCTGCACTAGGGTACCACTCCTTACCTGGGAAAGGTAACTTAAAGGGGACACTGCTGGAGGGGTGGGGGGCAGGAAATAGATGGCAAAAACTGCTTCTGACAATGAACCACCTAACACAGAAAAGCTTCAACGTTAATATTCATATGATTAACATCAGATTTTTTTTCCTGCTCTCCGAAGTGGAGACCCATGTTTCATCCACTGGGAAATAATAAAACCCTTTGCTTTATGATGTTACTGAAACCTATAACTCAGCTCCTTGGCCATATAACAGTCTGCATCTGCCTGATTAAGATTTGAAGGGTGAAGAATAACCAGCTACCCCTAACTTCAGGAAGGGAAACGTGTTAGGGTGATCAAAATCAGGAGGAAATATAGGGCCAGATTCTGCCATCCTTCATTGTGACTAGCACTGGGGTGAAGGGCAGCATGTCTAATGGTTAGAACACTGTCCTAGGAGACCTGAGTCCTAGTCCCAACGCTGGGAGTGATTTGCTGAACAGGGTTGATGAGAGTAGGGAAAGCCACATGAAAGATAAGGGGCCAGGCTTTATTTTAAGGGACATTTTAGGGAAACACCACTTCCCTGAGCAGATCCTGGGTTTTTTCTCTCAATTGTACATTTCTACTGCCCTCAAATATACCATGCAATGATTATAAGCTTCAATGTAATGTTTCAAATGGTACTAATGATCAATGTTAAAACAAGTCAATACATCATCAAAGAAGGGATGGGTGATCACTCTAAGTGATAAATCAATGAAATAAAGGACAGTCCCCTAAAATAAGAGATGGGTGGTCCCCCTACATGAGAGTGGGGGGAAATGGGGACAATTGTACTGGGGACCCGAGCTCAGGGGGGCCCCTCAGAACGTCTGTGTAATAAAGGGAAATGGGAAGGAGTGGGGTCCCACAAACATGATGTACCGGGGCCCCACATTTCTCTCAATGCCCTGGCTGTGATGCCTTAGGAAAATCACTTCACATCTGTCTAGTCTATTTAGACTGCAAGGTCTGGAGGGGAAGAACTAACCCTTCCTGTGCATTGGTGAATTGCCACTATGGGACCCTGAACTTGGGACCTCTCCTGTAGTTCTACTAATAGAACTACTAATCATTCTACCGTAGAGCCTCGGAGCCCTTGACCTAGACCTAGACCCCACTGGGCTAGGCGCTGTACAAACACAGAATAAACAGACGGTCCCTGCCACAAAGAGCTCACAAGCTACGTAGAAGACAAAAGCCAACAGGTGAATACAACATGCAGAAGAAAATAAGGCCACAGCATTGGTCAGCATGCTCGTCACTGGCTTAACCGCTGCTGAGTTTTGTGTAAGCATCACAGCAAAAGAGAGTTTTAAGGAGGACAATGAAGTGGTTTTGTGGATGTTTATGGGACGGGCCGCCCAAGCGTGAGAGGCAGCAGGGGAGAAAACATAAAGGGGTTTGTTTGAAAATTGAACAAGTGGACAATGGAAGCTGGTATCATCGGCTGATCAGAGCTGGGAGCTGACATGTGGGTAGTGAATGAGAGATGACAGGTTGGGTGGGGATGGGCCTTGAAGGGTCTTGAAAATGAAGACAAGCAGGTGATGTGCGGCGATATGAGATCCTTGTACTGAATAACACCTCAGTGCTGAGGAAGGCAGTAGGGCTCATCCTAGTGCAGAACATCATTCGTCACAAGCGACAGGATCAAACTTGGAGCCCGTGCGAAGATTCCAGGACAAATGTGCCACCTGTCAGGAGCGAAGGCGCCCGAATCAATCTCGAAGAAAATAAGTGTCAGAGAACCGCAAAAAAGAAAAGGCATCCCAAGCGAACCTTGAACGCCACTGAGGAGAGTATAATATTAAATATTATTAAAGCATGCCAGGCTAATAAGCACATTAAGAGCCGTCAACCCTTGTCCCCTCCAGCACTCTACGGCACGAGGGAAATGGAGAACATGGTCTCAGGGATCCCATATGCAATTATTGTCCCAGCGAGGAGCAGGGCTGACCAATGACAGAATATTTCTAAAGCATCTTATATGTGAAGATGTGCTATACAGCAGTGCTATCTGGGCAAGGTTGTTCTCCAGCGTAAGAAGTCGGTTGGAGTGGTGGACTTTAACGGGCTTTGACTCAGGCCCTAAATGCGCGTGGAGGAGAGGCTTTGGCCCAAGGGAGGTTAGACGCTTGGCAGGCTTCCCTGCAAAGGGGAAATAAATCAGAAGCTCCTATGTCAGCCCTAACATTCAACAGCACCCAGTAAAAAGCGCCAGGGCTTGAGCAGAGAATGGGCGTGTTCGGTGAGACATGGGCTTAAATGGAATCCATGTCACACCAAGGGGGCGCTATACTCGCCATCCCCCTTGACCACCCTCCTACTGTTAAGCAAGAGAAACTTGGTGACTGTGCCCTGCCTCTCTCATCCACCCAGGATGGGGGTTCACCTGTACTTGCCCTGTTATGTACAGCACCCTGCACCCACGCTCGGGAGGACCAAACCCTGTATATGCTAATTATTGCTATTTATATTTCTAGGGTGACCAGATAACAAGTGTAAAAAATCAGGACGGGGGTGGGAGGATAATAGATGCCTATATAAGAAAAATCCCCCCAAATTGGGACTGTCCCTATAAAATCTGGACATCTGGTCACCCTAAATATTTCATCCATGCAATCTACTTTAATAACCGCAGATGAGTGATGGGTGTCTAAAGAGAAAGAAACAAAAGAAAACAGTTTATTTGGCTTTCCTATACTGCTTGCTATTGTTACATTTTTCTCTACAAACCTAGCATCTCTTTCTGCTCATGAGCTGTGCACCAGAAACATAGGCAGGCTTGTAGAAACCTCTTTTCGCTGCTCTGCCCACAGCCATGCTACCTTGGGGTGGGGAAATTTTGTCAGGTTTTACAAGCTAAGAGGGGTCGGGTTTTGTCGATTTGTGGACGGGAGAACACCATGGAAACCCCAGGCGACTGCCAGAATAGTGTCATGTCTCAATGGATGGCACCAAGCCAATGACTCAGCGGGGGGCGCTGAAGGTGCCATTTCTCAGATGGGATTCAGAGGAGAGCGCCTGATTCTTTGTGGTCATTTGAGAGCCCACAGCATTTTTAAAAGCAGAAATGTATTTCTCTGCTCAACTGAACCCCATCCAAATTCCACTCTGGACAATGTATTTCTGCCTTTCTAAAGTCCCCTGTGCTTACAACTGGAAACAGGATTCTTCTTCACTTCCTGTCCTAAACTGCTGCTGTACTTGTAAGAGCTTTTTTCCTTCTTTAAAATGATTTGTGAGCTCCGATACCGTCCGGGGGAGTGTGATGAAAGAGGTTCTTGATTTCATCAGAGCCGCTTTGTCCTTTTGCTGAAGACGTATCAGCAACATGGGAGATGGGCGAGCTGTGGTCTGAAAATTATCTCTAGCTGATTCTGATGGGAAAGGTAGCGCTGAGGCCAGTTGGGGAAGAGGAAAAGGGAGCAGGATTTGTAACTAACTATTAGCTCCATTTCTAAGGTTTTGCAAAACCACCCTCCTTTTTTGACGGTCTCTGTATAAAGGGCCAGAACCTCAGCTAGCGCAAATGGATGCAGATTGCAGTGAATGAGGCTATGCTGATTTACACCAGCCGAGGATCTGGCAGCAAATATTTTCCTGAACCATCAGGGCTCTTCACAGTGGCAGAATTAGCTAGGCTTTTTTGTTCTGCAAGCTATTTTACGTGCCAGATGCACTAAAGATTCCTATGTCCCTTCATGCTTCAACCACCATTCCAGGGGACATGTGTCCATGCTGATGGCGGGTTCTGCTCGATAACAATCCAGAGCAGAGGGGATCGACGCATGTTCATTTTAATTATCTGAGTCAGATACCACCAGCAGAAGGTTGATTTTCTTTTTTGGTGGTTTGGGTTCTGTCATTTCTGCATTGGAGTGTTGTTTTTTTAAAACTTCTGCAAGCATGCTCCACACCTTGTCCCTCTCAGATTTTGGAGGGCACTTCAGATTCTTAAACCTTGGGTCAAGTGCTGTAGCTATCTCTAGAAATCTCACATTGATGCCTTCTTTGCGTTTTTGTCAAATCTGCAGTGAAAGTGTTCTTGAAAGGAACATGTGCTGGATCATCATCCAAGACTGCTATCACATGAAATATATGGCAGAATGCAGGTAAAACAAAGCAGGGGACATACAAATCTCCCCCAAGGAGTTCAGTCATAAGAATAAGAGCATTAAGCGTCACTAGAAGGGAGCTTCTGACTACAGCTAGTTTGAATATTCTCGGTGCTAACACTTGCGTTTCTGTTTAGAGAAACAGGA